TTAGCTGCTGCCAACACCACTGCAAATGCCTTGATTTTCTTTTTTTTTTTTTTTTTTTTTTTTTTTTATTTTACAGTTGCCAGAAACCAAACAGCTCCTTCGTTTGAGACAATATGCTCATGGCACTACAGCTCTCATTTTTCTGACTGCTCTTTCAGGTAAAGCTCTTTCTGCTGTCCAGTTTGTACACTAGTTTGTACTCATTCCTCTGTTTGGGGTTTTTTTTTTCTTCTGTTCTGTGAGCAACCCCATCCATTCTCTGGGAAAACTGCTGCTGTCAGGGATCTTACAGTCAAGAACCTCCTCACTGGTCTTTCCTGGGCAGGTGGAGAGGCACCTTCCAGCCTTCCTGTGCTGTGTGATCTCTCTATATCTTGCTAAATGAAATTCAGGATCAAGCTGAGCTCTTGAATGAGAGCTGTGCAACCTGGAGTCACACCTTTGTCTACTCTGGTAGTCTCATTTCTGCTCTGGGATTGCAGGTGCCTTTGTGGCAGGGCTGGATGCTGGCCTTGTGTACAATTCCTTCCCCAAAATGGGGGAGCGCTGGATCCCAGATGATCTCCTTGCCTTCTCCCCCGTGCTCAGAAATATCTTTGAGAATCCTACAACTGTCCAGTTTGATCACAGGATCTTGGTAAGTGCTGTCTTCCTGATATGTCTGGGCTGCTTCTTGGTTGCCTCCTGCAGCCAAGCTGTCTTCTTTGGGCTGTGGTTCTGTCAGCTTGAGTGATTTCCAGGGTGTCCAAAGGGCCTGAGAGCATCTTACCAGTTTGCTTCTGCAGGAAGAGGAAGTTTAGCATTGTTTATTTTCAGTGTGGCCTTCTTCCTTAAGGAGCTCTTCCTCCTGCGCAAGTAACACACTTTGTTTCTCTGATTCTCCTTTTCCATAACATGAGCTACAGTGTGGGGTGGCCCTTGCTATTGAAATGTCTGGGAAAGGTGTGTGAAATCAAATTTGGAAATCCTGATATTGAATGCTTCCTGCAGCATTTCTGAACTTGTTTTGCCCAGCAGTGCCCTGCAAGTACATCTCAGCCAGGTAGAGCAATCCGGATATTAAATGCCACTGGCAGCCCTGCTGTGAACTAAGCTGTGGCTAAGACTAAAAAAAGAAAGATTAAGCTGGATCACCTTGGGTGACCTGCACAGCGAGATTATGCTGGTGAACTACAGCTGAGTGGTGGAAGTGAGATCAGTTTTCCAGATGACAGCTTCCACCTTCACTTGTCAAGGTGGCAGCTGGGGAAGGGGCAGACACAATCTCTAATGACTTGAATTAATGAGGAGAAGCTGTTGAAAAGTAAAGCATTCATTTGGAGGAAATGAAAAGTCTCTTTAACTTCACTTAAATTTCAGGGTTGTTAACTTGATGGTGTGGGAGTTCTAGGATTTGGCATTGGCCATTAATATATTTCTTTAGTTAAATACTGCTCACACAATTTCTTTTACTGCATGGAAGGCAGTAAAAGGTCACTGCACCCATTTCCCTTGAACTTTCATTGAAGGGTGGTTGTTTCCCTTCCCTTCTGTAGGGAATTGCCTCCATCACAGCTGTCACAGCACTGTACTTCTTCTCGAGGAGGGTCCCACTGCCTCGAAGGACCAGGATGGCTGTGACTTCCTTACTGGCTGTAGCTTGCATGCAGGTACTGCCCTTATTTTTTTCCTACTCCTTTGTAGCACGTTCACAAGGCAGACCTGACCCCACTTGGATCTGTGCTGGCTCCAAGAGTCCGGAGCTCAGAGGTGGCGCTGCCTAGACCCCACACCTCACCGTACTGCATGCACACTCTGAATTTGGGGTGGCTCATGGTGTGGCTGTGACCCTTTCTAACAGCACACTTTGTGCAGGGCATGGTACCCGTGGTGCACCCACAACTGCTCTAACCTCTTCTCCCTCTTTGGCAGGTGGGCCTGGGCATCAGCACCCTGCTGCTGTATGTCCCTACGCCTGTGGCTGCTACGCACCAGTCGGGCTCCCTGGTCCTGCTCAGCATGGCACTGTGGCTCATGAGCGAGCTCCGCAGAGTTCCCAAGTAACGCCCCGGCGGGGG